AGGGATCAAACAACGGGCTCACCTCGTTCCGTCTATTAAATGGACTGTGCTTTTCGATTAAATTCTCGGTGAAATTAAATAAGAAGAGCCTTGAAAAGAGTCATCAAAGGGATGATATTGAATGTTACAAAGATCTTTTGTCGCAGTAATCAACATTTATAAAAGGACAGAAAGAGATTCGACTACCGTGCCTAAATTTATTAAATATTTAAATCTAATTAACAAGCTTTAATTGTCCTGCCTCGATTCCGTAAACAATATTTTATTTCTATTTCAGAATGCTGTTAAACACAACTGAGAAAAATGTTTACTTTCTTTTAATTTTTGTTTTGTTTTTTGTACAAAGAAATTGTAATTATTTCCCACCAGCAATAAGTAAGGAAACTTATGACTAACTTAAAAAAAGGAAAAAACGAAAAATCAAAGTGGAATTATTTGCTTTTGTTGATAGGTCATGTAGGTCATGTTGTATAATATAATTTTTTTAAAGTATTCTAAGTGCTTTGATGTGCTTACTCACTCTATTTTTGAAAGATTATATTCGATAGATATTTGGAACATCGATGTTAAATCACAGACAAAAATCACTACGAAAGTTTATTTTCGGTTGAAAATAAACATGACACAAAGGAACAGGTGGGGTAATTATGAAACTAACTTTTATGAAATTAATATTTCACAAGAGTTGCCCGGCAGGTACAGGGAACGTATTGGAAAAAGGCTGAGTACCCATTAGGCTATTTTCTTTTGAAGGATTAGGAACACATCAAACAGAATGGTTGTTTAAATCTTAACAAGTTGTTGGACGAATAGTTTAAAATTGGAAAATGTTTTGATAAGTATTATATATACCTATTATATAATATACAGGGTGTCCTTTTTAGATGGCCGGTTGAAGTTCTCTTGAATCAATGATGCTATCAAAAGTGCAATAATATGGTATGGTGAAGAAGGATATTAGGAAGCGGGGTTTGCACTCCCCAGGCACTGCAGCCTTCTGGCTTATTGTACCTTCCTAGTTCTTTAGTTCAGTGCAATAGACTCAATTCTTCTTCTTAGAAGTATCAGGTCATTGACTGTCGCTGCTACAATTTGATTCCCTAAGTTTTTTCCATATGTTAGGTTAAATCTCCAATGAGCTGTTGCTTCGCGTCGGAAGATGATATGGGTGGCTGTTTCCTCCTCCTCATTACATAATCTGCAGATCGCATCTTCGTTCTATATGCCGATTTCAATTAATTAATCTTTTTATGTAAGGTTTTGGTTGAAATGAGAAATGGCAAAAAATGGGAAAATTCGAAGGTTGTACGTTAAGATGGGAAGTTGGTGTCCGAGTGGATCGAATTCACGATAGCTCGATAGAAATGTAAAAAGTTGAAACTAGACTAATAAATATTAATACGTATTTTCGTATTTTCCATTTTTCAATTGTCGTGTAATCTATTTGTTTATCGGCGACAAATGAAATGGCCACGGAGAGCTTTAGTGAAGTACATTTCATTTTAATTCATTAAATTCACTTTTTTCGAGGTCCGCTTGAAAATTGGCAAAAAGGAGAGAAAAAAAAATGGTGGGATTGAGATGGGAAGTTAGTGTCTGTGTGGACCGAAATCGCGATAGCTCAAGTGGTAGAGCAGCGGCGTATCTAGCCGAAGATCGTGGGTTCGAATCCCACTCGTGCCATTGACTTTTTATCTCAACTAAAGACCTTAATTGAAAGGTAAAAAGTTGAAACTAGACTAATAAATATTAGTACGTATTTTTTTAGTTTTTTTTATTGCGTCATTGGTCCAGGAGAAATTCAGCCGGGCCATCTAAATAGGACACCCTGTATAAAATTTGTGAAAAATTTTACAATTTGAAATTTTTTTGGAACTCTGCAACTGAAATTCCTTTCAACTTCCTTTGGAAACAACCACTTTTATAATTTATAAAATAAATGCAGATTAGAAGGAAAATGGTTTAGTTTTATTGTCAAAGAAATAGACATTACCGAATTACCAATATTATAAAAGGAAAGAGTCTTTGGCATAAAATTTTCGATTGTATGAACGTAACGGCCTAATAATAATATGTCTTGATAACCTAAAATACATACATATACAGCACAAAATGCGTTGAATTCTATCCCAAACTAAATAAAAATCGAAGTGCTTTCTTATTCATGACTAGAAAGACATAATTAAGGCGATTACAACCTTGTATAAGAAATTACAATTGTTTTGAAATCAAAAGTTGTTAAATGTTTATGGAAACGTGTGAACAAACATGAATCGTGACATCGTATTTTCGAAAACAAAAAATTGGTCGGCAAACAACTAAAAATAGTTTTGTTTGTATTTTCTCGAAAAATTCTATTCAGATGTACAGGTGGGAGCAAGAAATGTGAACTTTGTTTTTGTTAAAAAAAATAATTTAGCCTACTTTTCTGCCTAGGTCGCTAGGTCATCGCATCAAAATTATATCTGGCAGCTTGCCACTTGCTGTGTGTGTGGATATTGAAATACTTAATTTGTGACAGAGGAACGGTGAAAAGTAGGTCGAAATATTTTTTATCACCAGAAAAATATATTAAAAAACTGAGATTTTCCGTCCCTAGCCCCCCATTGTGAGTTCAGTTCCATTGAATGAATAAATAGTAAACTATAAGAACATCTAAGATCCCGTTCTCTTTTGTCAGTCTAAAACGTTGTCGGAATGATTTACAAATATCTAATGGTGCACACATGTAATTTATTTGTAATAGACAGTATCATACTGAAAGAAAACAATGTACTATGATTATACTTATATTTTTATTAACGATTTTTGATTGAATAATATCAATTTTTACTATTTCTTAAATGCAAATGGTTAATATGATCCTATCATCACAGCATCATGAAAGCTTTGGCCTGACTATGTAAATATAAACAGAACATTGAAAATTAATTTTTTTTATAATAACAAAAATTGTAATTGTGTTAAAGGAAGAATTCTTCAAACAAAACTTTGTTCAAAAGGGAAGCACGATAAAAAGTTAAGTTCGCCTTCTCAAGATAATTATTTTTCATTGGCTTACGATTACAGTAACTCAAGTGATATAATTGCATTTATTTGTTGTAATGATGTTTGATAAAACATTATACTAAAATTTAATAAAATATCAAGATAACTGGAGCAATTCATAGCTGATTTATTTAACTCACTATTAATGATTTACTACTAAGTTTTTCAAATATAAGGAGTCCATAAACAATTTTTAGTAAGGTAAGCTGAAACAAAATATTTGTATGTATTTATTTTTTAAAACCTGATCCATTACGTCTTCATTAAATGTATGTATGTCGTTAATGTCGTAATTGTCAACATTGTTATTATTATTGAAAATTTACATTGTTCCAATAACGTTATTACAAAGCCAGAGTTGGTTATTTTATGAGAACAAATAGTTAATTATTCAGAAATCGTGAGATGCTGTCTGGTGTGATGTAGGTTTCAGAAAAACATTTTCTTTATCGTACCAACGTTTCGATCTTTATTGTGATCATCTTCAGGGCTCAAAGTGTTTGTCTTCTGTGTAATTGTGCCATTCTTGCGTCGTGTTGAGAGTGCCCCCGGAAATGTATTTGTTAAATTTAAACAATGTTTGTAAATCCCAGGCTCTGAAGATGATCTCAATAAAGATCGAAACGTTGGCACGATAAAGAAAATGTTTTTTTGAAACCTACATCACACCAGACCGCCTCTCACGATTTCTGAATAATTATCGATTAACGGTCGCTAATCACCACACAAATAGTTAAGTTAATCAAATAAAACAGAATTCCATCAAAATAAAATTAATGTTAGAAATAATAGTTTAATATCTAATCGTGTACAATTTAAAAATTATAAGGCTAAATACCTACATAAATTAGAAGATCATGCAGGATTGAATTTATTCTTTTTAAACTTTAAAGATCGGATTAAATAACTAATTTAGTTTTACTTGTCGAATTAGAATAACTTGCTTTGATAATTTATCTTTTTTTATAAAGTACGGTCTGAATCGAATTGAAAACTTTGGTTATTTCGTTTATGTAGTAATTGAAGAGAGCTTTTCGATGCAGTAACTTTACAACGGGTTGTAATTTTACCAAGAAAGTCTTTCCAATGCAATTGTGTACTTTATATTTACGAATGATGATTTTTATGAATGAATAATGTAACTTATTGTTACTTCCAAAGCTAAATGACATCATTGAACTGAAATAAAGAAAAAAAAGAACAGATTTTCAACTAACAACTTCAAAGCCGGATTATAACCAGGAATTTTAAAAAATTAAGTAGTTGATCTATTCATAGTTTAATAACTATTAAAATGTAAGCTCGTTTACACCGCACGTGCAGGACTGTTCGTTTAAATAAATCAAATCATTAGGTGTAAAAATCTTGTGCAATTTGTAATGTTTTTATGCCAAAATAACTTTTTAATGATACTGATGATAATATCAATAATAAATATCTAAGCTTATTTTATCGCTTTTTATGTGATTGTTTACAATTTGACGAAAGCAGAATAAACTCATTATTAATATATTAACGTCGTAGATTGAATAGAGGGAAAATTATGCGATGATGTTATATTGTGCATCTCAATGACGAGAAACTAGACTGGAGAATGTTGAAATTCTGTGCACTGGAGCAAAATTTCATTACAATTCAACCATATTCCCGGGGTGGAAAAATGGTTTAAATTTATTACGGAATATGTTATAACAGGAATGAATTGTTTTTGTGAGCAGCCATGTTTAACATATGGTTCTCTTTGTTTTTATAATTTTTTTTGTTAATATGAAGATATTCTAAAGGTATTAGGCGTTTAGTGACACACTTAAAACTTGTTTAAGTTGTCGTTTTGTTACAGGAAAGGTAAAAATTGTTTTAAAAAATTAAGCGAGTTTATTCTACTGAATTATTATTATTGTACAATTGATTTCAAGTTTAAAATTTAAATTTAAATAAAAAATGTGACTTACATATAAAAGACATCCTTTAACGAGAATCCTTTCAACGGAAATCACTGTAAACTTTACAAAACCACCATGTCCGTCTGACTATATTTCACATTATAAATTGATAACTTATTGACACACTATTTGACCAAACAGTTCGGGGGGGGGGGCAGTTTATTCGATGTTAAAAACTCAGCAGCGAATAAGGAGAGGCGGAGAGCGGATTCCCGTAGAAATTACAGATTTCAATTCGTCATCCATAACGGATTAGCCGGGAGCTTAAACAAAAATGATTGGTTAGCCGGTTATTGCCCATCGTTAATTTGTATACGCCTTAGTTGTAATTGCTATTTTTTATTTAAATTCGTCCAGTTAGTACAAGTTTCTAATGCAAAAATAATGTTGGTTATTATTCATTTCCCAACGAAAATATTTTCTTAACTGCTTAATTTTTTCGTTGGGATCAACGGGATAAATATTAGTATTACACATTTATCCGTTTTTGAGAGTAATCACTTAACTTTACAAGTAAGTTAATTTTATGAGCATTTATGAACACAGAAAGTGTCATAGGGGTATGAAAAGAAAGCATATACATAGCTTATCGGAATTTTGATTCTTTTTATTTTTTTTTACAAAATGGACTCAATATATAAAGTCATTTCTAAAACGACAGCTGACGAACAGGCACATTGGTGTGTTCCAATCTAGTCGTTGTATTAATAGGAGCCGCAGGAAAGTGGGGTCGGGGTCGGCGAGGGGGCGACGCGACACCTAGACCCGCGGGGGGCTCCCGGGTCCAAAATTGGACGGATCGCGGATCGGGCTCGTTCGGCTGAGAGGCGAGGGACGCCGGCCGCCTCATCCGGGAAGCAACAGGAAGACGAGATGAAAAATCAGAGGCTGTAACTCACCTGGGAGACTGTTAGAGCCGGGCAGAGCGGGTCACACTACCTGCTTCCCGGGGACTCTCCAACTCCCACTCCGGGCTTTTCTCCCACCCGGCCGCCCCCGCTCCTGCGAGCCGCCCCCGTCGGCCGAAACGGCTACATTTTTATTTTGGCCCTTCTTTCGCATAAGGCCTTTTGGCCGAATCACTTCCCCGGCTCCCAGTGATTCCTTCAATCTGTTAGCACCCTTCCCGGCTCTCTTGCAAAACAAGCAACAATCAGCAATTTGCATAGGTCAAGCGTTTAACCCATAAGTTTTCTTATGATTTCTTTAACAGATGTCGTTCGGATATAATCGTCCATGGTAAGTATTCTATTGAACTTAAAGGAAGTGGAATTTCCAAAGTATGACCTATTCCTTTATACAACCCCTTCAGATTAATAAATAGAAGCGGGAGAGAGAGAAAAAGAGAAAGAGAGAGAGAGAGAGAGAGAGAGAGAGAGAGATAAAGAACCGAGTGAGTACGAGAGAAAAAAATAGATAGGTAGAGATAGAATAATAGAGAATAGGTAGAACAGAAGTAGAAGGATAGAGAGATTGAAATAGAGAGGGGGCGGGAGTGGGAAAGACTAAGAAGGAGACAGAGAAAAATTGAGAAGTACATAAATATAGACATAAATGTCAATATAGATAGAGGCGAAAGAATTAGAGAGAGAGAAGTAAAAAAAATAGAGAGCGAGAAAGACGTCGATAGAGAGAAATTTGTCAAAACAGATGAGCAACAAAGAGAGTAGAGAAAGTGAGAAAGAAAGAATGAGAGAAAGATTCTAAGATAAAGTTAGCAAAATAGAGAGAGAGAGTGAGAGGAAAAGAAAGGATTAAGAAATATATAGATAGACAGTAAGAAGTGCATAGATCTAGATAGATATGTCGAAATAGATGATGGGAGAGTGAGAGAAAGACAGAGAGTGAAAGGCAGCGAGAGAGAGGGGAGAGAGAGAGAAAGAGTGAGTGTAAGAGTGGGGGAGAGAGGGTGATAGAACGAGAAAAGAGAGAGAGAGAGACAGACAGATANATATATATTTATATAGAGAGGGAGAGGGTGAGAAAGAGAGAGCGAGAGGCATAGAGGAAAGAAACAGAGAATGAGACAGGGAAAAAACTTAAATAGGAGATAGATAAATATATATAGTGGTAGGTACATAGCTGTAGATAGATATATCGAGATAGAGTTTCCGAGAGAGGGAGAGAGACACTCACGAAGAGGAGAGAAAGAAAGAATGAGACTGGGAAAATATTAAATAGGAGATATATAAATAGAAAGTGACAAGTACATTGCTGTACATAGATATTTCGCGCTATTAAGAGCTTGAGAGAGAGAAAGATAACACCTAGTCGCCATTGACACGCCTCAACAAAGCAGAAAATGTTACGTTCATATAAAACTATAAATTAAATGGTAACGAGATGGTAAGTGAACATTGAACATTGAACTATTAGCCAAAGTATGTAAATATGTACAATTGTGGGATCACAAAACTATAATTATGCAAAAGCGCAGCACCTCAGATATTTTTTGTATAAATTTAATTTCTATTATTGACTGATTGCTTTGATTGATTCGTATTTAGAAGAAAATGAAAATAAGGAAAAGACGTGTTAAAAATAACGAACAAAGATGTCCAGAGGCTTCGGTTGTTTTCTGTCGAACAGGCAACATTACGATTCCACCAATTGCTTTTCCCCCAGACGTACGCAATAAAATCTGCGAGTTATCAGAAGAATAGGCACGACTCAAACTAATAAGTTCTGCCGAAGTGAACGACCCAGAAATAAGAGAAGGAAAAGTTCTCGAATAAAATATACAGCCTATTGCCGACCCTGAGGAAATCGTATCTGATCGGCCGTATTTTCAGTCCAAGAAGGAAGACGGTGATTAGCCGACCATACGGTTCACATTCAACCACTTTTAGGAGCTACACTAGCAATAGAAAATTTGAAACGAAAAACACTTGATCACTTTAAAGGAGAAAGAGAAAACCAAAAAAAAAACATAATTATTATGGCTGAAACATAAGTCAAAGATTCATTCACTACTTTCGTGGTCCGCTTGACCAATTAATACATGTCAAAAGGAGGGAAAACTCGTAAGGTGGGGTTGAGATGGGGAGTTGATGTCCGAGTGGATCGAGGTCACGATAGCTCAGGTGGTAGAGCAGCGGCGTATCTAGCCGAAGGTCGTGGGTTCGAATCCCTCTCGTGCCATTAACTTTTTTTCATCTCAACTAAAAACCTTAATTAATTGTCATAAGTCAAAGAGTAAAAACGAATCTATGATTTGGAACATCATCTAATTTTCAGATTAGAAATGAACAAAAAAAAGACTACCAACAAGTCACCTCTAGTTAAGAACAGTACAGAAGGAAGGCCACAAAGAAAATGGAAATGTGATACCAGGAAGTTTGCCGGATGTTCTTGGTGTTAAAAAATAAAACACCCAGAAACCTGGAGGAAAAAAGGAAAGCCCAGTCTAAAATGGGGCCAATTTTTTTTTTGTATTGTTACATGTTTAATCAGACTAAAAAGTTCCTGTTGCCAACAGTCTGATTCTCAATTATATTCGAGATATTTCAGTTTTTAGGTTAGTTCAACCTTTCACAACCTTTCCATAAACCCCTTCTTAATTAATCCTTTTATAAATTTGATTATACCAAAGGTAATAATATTCAAAACCCTATGAGATCCATTTTTTTATTGTAACCTCAAGCAAACAGAGTACAAAATCACTTAGAACATTTACGAGTTTGCGAAATTCTTGTCTGAAGTTAAAGTAAGATTTCTTTGGTTATTTAAATAGTGAAAGATTAACATATTCAAGTTTTTACATTTCTTGAAGACCGACTCATTCCCAACATTGGCAAGGACTGCAACAGTATTGCCGCTATTCTTTAATTATGGCACCCCAAAGGTTCAATTTTTTTACAAACCATCAGATTCATTAGTTTTCTACACAAACACATTTTTTTTCAGATTAGTATATAAATGAATTTGGAAAGGTTTGGCAAATAAATTTGAAAAATACTTCTCAAAGAAATTATCCTGCGGCAATACTAAGTCTTTTTCTTTTTGGCTGTTAAAAACAAATTTCCCCGCAGTCCGACAGCGTACATTTCGAACTTTGTTCGTTCCAACCTCCACAGACAGGATTGGAACATTTATTAAGCCCGACAGGTCGGCGGTTCCCAGAAGGGTTCTGAGGAATCAGATTTTCGGTTTGCGCTTCGAAAATCAATCGGGTCTGTTCTATTTTACTAAAGCGATTAAAACAGGAAAACTCTTTGAACAATTAATAGCAAAAATTATTAGACAGTAAATAAGTTTCGATTTAGCCGTGTTTAAATAAAAAAATTAAGTTAAAGTTAACAATACAAGACTTCAAAACATCAAAAGTGAAAGGAATTATAAATAGTAGAAGGCGTCGGTGGCCGCAACGGTTTAAGCGTTGACACGGCGCTCATCACTGTAAGGTAAAGGTCCCGGGTTCGAATCCAGCGGCCCTGCATTCGAACCCGACATACTTACAAATGGGCTTTTTTTCAAACACACCGGCACCCCGAGGGCTGATATTAACCTCTGCTGTTACAAACACTCGTAAAAAAATTTAAAAAAAAAATATAATAGTAACACCATCAAAGGTTTCCATCGGCATTACGAGCAACATTGTTAGTCTCAGTTATGAAAACTTGATTTGTTTCACAAAAAGAGTTCGATATTCAAGCGCAAATATTATTTGGAATTCGGAAAAAATTATTAATACGGAATAACAAATTGACCAATTTGAAAAAAAAGCTTAGTGAAAATTAAATCCAATGACAAAATTCCGCCATGTTATTATTATTTTCACAAAAATAATAATAATTTTTCATCGTTTTTATAATATTTCTGGTCCCTAGTTCAAAATTAATCACAATAATTTTACCGCCCAGCTAGGAAAATATCTGGGGATCAAAGAAAACAAAGGTTTAAATAAGTTAAGATGCTAGATAAATATCATAGTTTGTTTGTTGAAGTATGCTAAAAATATTTTCTTTCGAGTTACGTAAAAGTGCATTCGCGTGAAGATTACTTGCGCCAACTAAGTTGAATGGGCATTGTCAACAAAGTTCCCCTTGGTAATTCTTGAACTGCATTAAATTGTTACGCCTTTTCTCCTTTCTCGGATTAAGTCCTGGATTCTCAATTCACAGTCGCTCCACAGCAGGAGAAGTAATCCGCCTTCCTTTTGATTTCACGCCATCTCTCACGTAAACCGTGGGATATTTCATATTTAGGAGACAACCTAACAGAACAGAGTATGTCGACAATTTTGTTTTATCAACCGACCCCTTTTTGATTTAAGACAACTCTATTAATTTTCACCAATCAATCGTATAATTATATCAAAAATACATAATATTTAGATACAATACATTTACACTTGTAATATTGAATTCAATGTTTAACACAAAAGTAGGGATTAAATTATTGCTAATTGTTTGCTTGGTGTGATAGCTTTGTTTGTCGCAGAAGAGTAACAAAAGGCGAAAAACTGTAAAACTAGATTATTTAGTTTTTTGAAGTATCGTGTGTGTGTGTGTGTGTGTGTGTGTGTGTGTGTGTGTGTGTGTGTGTGTGTGTGTGTGTGTACAGTTTTCCAAAAGTAACTTGTTGGATAGTGAGATGGTGAGTACTTACAACTTTAGCCACTCCTATTTGTAAACATTCAATGTACATTGCCACGATGGAAAAACACTTTGTTGTAAAAACCGTGCTTCTAAAACTGCAAAATACTCACTTAAAGTTGATTTGACCCATTGCTCTCCGCGAATGTAATGAACATAACCATCCCATCCAATCGCCATTATCTGAGGACGATAACGAACGAGGCCAGTTCAGAAGCGTCACGTCAAGAGCAGAGATTAGAGTTTTGAAAATGTCTTCACCGAGGTAAACAAAATCATTCTGTTTTTATTCAGTATATCAAGAGTAAAAAAAACTAGATTAAACAAATTGCGAATGTTAGTCAGAGTTGTTTCTCCAACTTCG